ATTGTTTAGTAAATTTGAACAAAGAAGAATAGAATACAATGGATAATCGTTAAGAAAGAAAAAGAAATACGTGATAAAATAGATTATGAGGGGAACATGACTTTGACAAAGAAAACATGACAGCGAACCCGCTACTTGCGTCATCGTTGTTCATAATAATAATAACGTGTGCATAGAAATGTTTCAGGGGCGTCCTAGCCATGAAAAGTATACAGCTCCCTTTCATCTGAGTGTTGAGAGCTGTATCCATAAATTCAGTGTGTGCTAAAGTGCACCAGTTTGATGCATTTAACTTCAACATTTAAAAAAAAAATCATTTTATTTAGATTGTTTGTTATGTGGATGTGTAGTATTTGTGTTACTGTATGTTCAATAAAGGTGATTTAGCAAAATACACCTGTAGAGCCTCAAGAGCCTTTCTTGTGCTGAAAAACACAGAAACGTATTGACGGGGCGCACTTCGCACGAACATTAAAAAAATCCACGCGCTCTGCACTCACACCGCTGCTATGACTCCATCCTAGGGGAAACACTGGCCTGTCACTCATTATTTTCAGGGAGGGGGCAGGGTTTGGAGCAGCAGAGAGGAGACGGTGATCGTGGAAGCTTTCCTCCTGCCTTCACAAACGTATTTATCATCTGAAAATAGCAAGGGGACATTCATACTCTGCAATCCAAGACTTAATTAAATCCACCAAAAACCTGACATGACGACAACAAGTGTTTTTCAAAATCATAAATCGATGTGTGTCTCTGAGCCGCAGCGACACGGACTGATTCAGAGCGGGTCCTTCTGCTGTTGGTTCTGGACTGGTGCTTGTGTTTGTGGATAAAGCAGACTGCTCCGTGTTTGGTGTCGCTGTGCCGCTGTCACTTCTGTTCCCTGATCTTTGCGTCACCGACCGATTTGATATTCGTGTGACAGAAAAAAAAACTGTTATTGTCCTGCTGCGGCCGGAAGATCAGGAAGCAACGTTACTACGCTATAATCGATTATGTTCTGTCTCTGCATCGATGCAGAATCGTCCACGTCCGCATCATGATGGCATAATAGAAACGATTAATTTCAACACCCCTACTAGACATGCTACTGTGTGTATACTTTACAGCTGACAAATCACATTGGTTATTTCTTCTGTTTCGTTTATACCTTTTATAAGTTACTGACAGTTTTTAGGATGTGCCCTAAGAGCATATGCATTCAGTTTCCCTTTCCCCCTTCACCCTCTCATTATTTATTTCTGTCTTTGCCTTTCTAATGTAGAGTTGTGAACACCATGCTGAGTTTAGGTCAAGGGAGGTTTGACATAGATTCCCTTGGCTTGTGCAGCCTATAGATCTCAAGATCTCTGATATTTCACTCCCAGCAGTAGCTGTCTCTGGGGTGTCTCTGGCCCTGCTGCTCCTGACAGAGATGGATGGAAGATGTTTGTTTTAGAGGGCATTCAGTGATGCAGCACCGATAAGAGGAATGCTGGTAGAGATTTCAAGTCATGATTTCAGCTGGGGGGTAAAAGACAGGTGGCATTTTCGGTTGGGTGGCATTTTCAGAACACATAGCTAGGCATGTCAGATGCGGAGATTTCCCATGACCATTTGTCTTTCTCTTGCCCTTATCATGCAAAGTGTAGCTCCTTTAGCTATTGTTTAATGTAAAAGCCCTGGATAAATGCCACTGACTCCAGAAATGGACCAGAGAATACTGGTGTCCAAGAGTGCAAACTACATTTTCAATTTGTTCTGCTCAGCAGTTTTTCCTTGTTGCCGGCATCGTCCTACATTTTCCTATTTTAAACTCTGGCACCCGTTCAAAAACAAAGTGTTCTCTTTAATTTTCATACGACATTTCGTCCAATTATTGGATTGCAGACTTTTCCAACCCTTGTACTGCTTTGTCCTCTTTGAACTACTCCTACAATTTGTACACTTTCACCGAACAGAGGGGGTGAAATTGAGTATCTGTTCATAGAACCTGATGATCGGTCATTTAAATACATATTGCCTTGAAAAATAAAGATATCTGTTCCTTGGATAATTTTTGGAAGCCGACCTGCATTGTATATCTTTTTGAGACCATATTGTACCAATGCAATGAGCCCTTGACAGAGTGAAATAAAAACGAATACTCCTTTTGAAGATTCCTCATGGTACAAGTTTGATAAACTGCTTTAGACTCATATAAAATCATTCAAACAGTGTAACATAACTATTGGATATGCCATAGTTTACAAATCTCTTTACAACTTCTTTGAATAAATTCCGTCTTTTCCCATCCCAACCAAATCCATCCAGTGAAGTTGATTTTTTTGAAATGTCGTCTTACTGAGTGCGTCGCAAAGCTTCTTTCATCTGCCATTCATTATAATCCTGAGTATTGGGCTTATATATTTCAAAGAGACTAGTATAACATTCAAATCTGTTCAACATGTACTTTTAAGGTGCAAACTGTAAGCCTAGCAGTAAGCATTTAAAGAAAAATAAAATACATAGGCAGATGGGAACTGTAAGTGGTTGGGTTTTGTTGTAGCATAATTTCCTATTCAACTTTGATAGATTTTTTTATTTTTTTACCTTCATTAGACAGAAGAATAAGATGTAAGGGCGGAAACTGGTAGTCCATAGTGGCAGCCTGTAGCATCATGGGAGAATTTTCTTTTCAGCCTTCTCTTGAACTTTTTGGCCTTACATTATACAAAGAGGAAAGGTTTACGCCTATTTTGATGTTTTTAGTTTTGTGTTCCATGCAAAGTTAAGAATAGTTCTGAGAATGTTTTTGCCCCATGCCACAATAATAAATCTGTTAGCTCTCATACTTGGCTTGGCCACGTTCTGTAGCTCTTCAGAAGTAAACTGAAAAGCTACCTTCCTTTTTTTTAAGTTGTTGCAGAATTGTCTTTCTGGTAACACAGATTCCTGGGTGAATTAGAAAACAGTATGTATGAAAATCATCTCACAATGTTCAACTCTTACAGTGAGAGGTAACCATAAATCAAAATATGTTTAAGCACTAAGGTTCTTTCTGGGCAAAACGGCAGTGTCAATGATCATAGACACTCTTTCTTGGGCACTTTCCCCTTGCGCTCTGATGGCTTTATTTTATTTATGGCTTCAAAATGTTATGTTAATGTAATCACTAACTTAGCGAAAGTGCTGACTCGCTCCTTGCGCCGCAGTTACAGTCTCTCATGAGTGATGGAGCCATTTGCATTGGACGCTCACAAGTTTTGACAAGAACACCTAACAAGTTTTCTAAGCTGCCAAAAACAGTTTTGCAGTGGGTAAATCGCTATCTCCTCCAATTTGTTTGTATAACTGTAGCTCTGCATTAATCAGATTATGTTCTCTGGCTCGAAGTGAGTTACTGTCAACTTTTCTATGAATCGAAATGTGCTTATTTTACTGCTGTACCTATTATCTCCTTTCCTTTTTTTTTAATATCCCTTTTCCATTATTTACCCACACCTGTAACCGCTTGTTGCTTTATTTTCTTCTCTACTTCACCCTTTACTTGTCTTTCTTGCTCACCTTTATGTAAAATCGGCATATTTAATTTTCCTGTTTTTAATTTGTCCTGTTGGCACAATTCATTTTATTTTTGTGTCTTCAATGTAATTAATTTGCTGTTCTCTGGCCTGTATTTTTTTGTTCCCAGCAGTGATTCAGAAAATATTCCCCCTTCTTAACTCACACGTCTCCTTTTTTTCTCAATCTTTTCCCCCAGGATGTTCAGATAGTGAGTACTGACGAGGACCAGGTCTTCCTCGCCCTCCAGGAGTGGTACCAGACAGACACATATAACTTGTACCAGTCTGACCCCCAAGGCGTCTACTACTCCATTGTCCTAGAAAATGTTCGCAGCACCAAGCAGCCAGAGGAGAATGTCCTCGTCGACATACTTGAGGTAAGATGGGGTAGAGCAGGGGTTCCCAAAGTGGGGGCCGCGAGACCCCGAGTGGGGGTCGCAAGATGATTACAAAATAAAAATCGAGAATAAAAAAAATTAATAATAACGTGTGCATAGAAATGTTTCAGGGGCGTACTAGCCATCTGTATAATTTCCCCGAAGCGAGGCTCCCCCTTTGACAATCCACTAGCGCAGTGTTTCTCAAACTTTTTCATACCAAGGACCAACAGCTTTACCTTCTCTATATCGCCTCGTTCACACATTAAATCAACAATACAAATACAGATTATATAAGCATTTAGTTCAAATGCCATTTAAAATGCTCTCAGGTTTTACACCTCTTATGAAATGTAGACTACATTTATTACGGAGTTTATGTCCGAGCCAAAAGACTCACAGATCGTTGGCTACTGAGAGATATGCAAAATACACCGCATAGTACGACACAAACCTCCACTGTGGATTTTCAAAACAAAATACTGTAAAACTATGGTCGCAGGCCCAAGTTTAACTCTCTGAGGCCTGCATGGTCTGACAGGGGGCACCAGCCTCTGGCACTGTTATTTTGGAGGTCGCGGGCTGACAAGTTTGGGAACCCCTGGGGTAGAGGACTGGATGCACTGTTGATAGCCATAGCGTACTTCAGTCTCGGAATACCTTAACATTCTATAAAAGCTACACAGCTGGGTCCAAACCCAAGCTTGCTATAAATGTAAGTTCTGTCCCTTCTGGGGAGCTTTATCAAGAGTGTTCTCCCAGAGAATGAAAAGCCAATTGGTGTGAAAGTGCTGTCATGAAAAAGAACCAATTAATCATGCTAAACAGAAAAAAACTGATTCTGTTCTCTATTATTATTAAACTCCAGAGGCAATGAAAGCAGGCTCATGTACTTTCACTCAAACAATTTGCTTTATATGCAGCACTCCTAAATTATAGATAGAGACCGAAGCTGGGGAATTGAGACATGTCTAACATGCAGCTCTGTTTAAANAATAAGCAAAACTGAAGAAAGAGAAACTAACAAACAAACAAACAAACAAACAAACAAACAAACAAGTAAACACATCCAATGTGATCATAGCAATTTGGACAACCACTAGACCCTCCAGAAAAACGCGATTCTGCGATCGCAGAATTTACCGCATAATCAGCAAAATGGCGCAGATTTTAAAAAAGCCGCATATTTATCAAAAGGCTGCATAATCCCCGCATTTTTCCACACAAAGTTGAGAAGAAATAAAAGTTAACTCGTCTTGACGTGACGTCATCAGCTCGCGCATCACAGAATGTAAACAACACTGTATAGAGCTCATTTACCAACGAACATTTCTACTAAAGACCGGGCAAAAAGTGGGGGGAAACTATTCTGCACCCCGTGCAACTGTGTGTTGCAGCATAAGAGAAAATCGACGGTGGCGACCCACTTTGATTCATTCAAACATTCGAAAATGCTTTCTGCTGCTGCGGACAAGAAAGCCAAACAACTCACGTTCACCGAGGCATCAACCTCCAAAACCCTTTCGAGGGCTACAAGAAACGAAGTGAGTAGCCTACAAGATTGAAGCTGGTCAGATAACGAACGAGTAAATGAAAACAGAATGAGTCGGAGAAGTGTGTGTGTGTGTGTGTGTGTGTGTGTGTGTGTGTGTGTGTGTGTGTGTGTGTGTGTGTGTGTGTGTGTGTGTGTGTGTGTGTGTGTGTGTGTGTGTGTGTGTGTGTGTGTGTGTGTGTGTGTGTGTTTAAAATAGCCCAATTGCTTTTACAATAAATAAACATTGTATATTTAAAAAAAACAACTATTATTTTTCACAACTTTCCGCATATTTCGCAACTTCCCGCAATTTCACCGCATAAAATCACATAAAAACCCTGCATGTTTAATCGCATAATCAAGGATTTTAGCCGGCATAATCAAGGATTTTTGCTCGCGTTTTTCTGGAGGGACTATTTAGTGTAACAAATGTTGTGCTCCTGGAAGTAAAAACAAGAGCCTACCTGTCCTGTCTTGGTGTAGTCAATGTTACAGTCTGGGATGGCCTTTGACAGCTGCACTATCCAGTTGTTAATCTTGTCCCTGCGCCGGCGCTCAACTGTTTGAACAACATTAAAAATTGAATTTATAATCCATACCTAATCAGATATTAAAGTGATACACTGGACATGAGCACTGACCTTCGTTGTGCTGAGCTCGCCGCTTATCATCTCTGGAACCCCGGGGAGCTTCTTGCTTTCTAAAAAAAAAGATGAAAACAAAGATTTTGCTAGATATAAGATACACTTTATGATTCCCAAACTGGGAAAACATTTTTTTATTGAAGATGTTCTACGATTGACTGCGTATTGATGAAACAGTGCTGTATTTCTGTTAAAAGAGGATGTAATTACGCTATGTATGGCTGAGTGCGCGGTGCGATTGTCCTTTGATTGGAACCCGTCAGAACTTCCTGGGGTGACATCATCACGTAAAGCTGCCCTGAAAAACAAAAGCTTACTGTCAGCTACAGATAAAACGTTAAGCATCTTACAATAATCATCTTAAAGTAAAGGCCTTTAATTATGGTAATAAAAATAAAGACTTCTTCAAAACTACTTAAAATTACTTTTTGATTAATGATTTTAAAAGATGCATTTCATTCATTTATTATTAATATTATAATGTCTTTATTAAACAGGGCTCATGCATAAAAGTACATTCATCTCAAAAAGAGAAGAGATGCCATATTTAGGAGGAACACACATACAGTACCAACGAACAAACACTCTTAGGCTGCAGCCACAAGAGGACGATAACGCGACGATAAAGTCTTCCGTCCACACGCAACAGGCACCAGAAACGTGTCCGTTCACACGAGACCGCTTGAAAGCGCTGGAGACGCTGTAGTACATATGCCAGGCCTGTAAGTGGCGCTGTAGTCTGCCACAAAAGCAGCGAAGAAGACTTCCCGCACATGGTTGCCATTCTGTTTATTCTCCGCTGTGGACGCTCTGGCTCTTTTTCTCCCTACCCGAGGCAAGCGTTTGCTCCTGCTGTAAATCTCCCCGGTAGTCCACCAGCAGATGAAAAACACCCACCTCTCCGCCTCTTCCAAGGGACGAGGGAACCGTGCAGCAGAGTTTCAGTTAGACTTTTTTTCGCCGGTCAACATGTCCGTTAAAGTTTAAATCTTCCGGACAAAATTATAAAAGTGCCTGTCAAAGGTCTTCTTTGTTATTTATTGAGCCTTAAAGAGCTTACGAAATGCTTTTAGCACCTGTTAGTGGGCTTAGTATATGATAGAGGTTGCATTTGTATTGTGAAATTTGCCATAGGATTTTTTTATTATTGATCTATTTTTAATAAATCACGATTATAACAGCATACAAAAGTTGTCAGTTAGTATCAATCGTTCGTTGCTCCGGAAACATCAACTTCGGCCATTTCCGGCGGTGACATCATGAGTAGAACACAGCTGAGCTCAGTCCCGTTTGAATGCGTTATCGTTTTATGCGTTTCCATGTCGGCCTCGTGTGGCCGAACCGTCTATATGATAGAGAACTGTAGCGGATATGACGGTTATCGTCCTTGTGTGGCTGGGGCCTTACCTCTCCCTCATGCCTACATGTTTTAACGTTTACCATAAGAAACGGCTGTAAGGCTAATATTAAAATAGTCATTTTGTATTGTTAACCCCTAGCTATTATAAATCTGCCATGTTTTTACAGGTACGTGGGATCAAAGGAGTCTTCCTAGCCAATCAGAAGATCGATGGAAAAGTGACAACTCTCATCACCTATAACAAAGGGCAAAGTTGGGATCTCTTGGCCCCGCCTATGACTGACATGAATGGCAAGACGATAACCTGCAAAGCAGTAAGTACTGACTCGGCTAAAGGTCCCTTTCACTTTCTTCATTGAGTTTGTCTTTTACCAGAGTTGAATTATTAAAAAACAAACTATCTTCAATAGACCTACAGTTTGATACACGACTGCCATTACTTTACAGCTTCAAAGTGAATGTGTTTGCAATTACTGTGACACCATATACTAGTAGCAAGTCAGTTTCCAATAAAACAAACTGAGGAAAAGAAAAAACACAACAACCCCTTACGCCTGTACACATCCAAAAGGAAATGTGTATTTCCCAAAATGTGAAACTGTTCCTTAAAGCAACCCCTTGATACCATGTTTTGTTGTGTTGTGTGAAGGAGCGAGGTTTGCATCAGGTATTAATCTTCTGTCTTGTTTGTTTATTTTTTACTAAGCATTGATTTGTTTTTCGTATACACTTTTCATATTGATTTTCTCTTCTGCTGGCATGGGGCATACTAAAAAACACAAGTGGTATTTATCTACTCATCTCTCTGCAAAATAAGCATATACAACTATTTTACAAAATGCTGATCTTGACCATTGAAATGTAACATCGTTTTCAATATCTTTCTTTTCCTTTAAAATATCTTAAGAAAAGCCAAAGTGACATTTCTAAATGGCTTAGGCTGCAGTGGCAGCATTGAACATCTAAAAACACCACTGCCTGCTTTGAAAAAGTAGCTGTGATTGGCTAAAGTATCCTTTCACTCTCTCAGTACACCAACCACTGTAAAACCACAAAAACTATTATTTAGTGTTTTCCTTAAAATAGCACGGTAATGCATTTCAATAAGGAGGGTAGAGCACATGCAATCAAAACATAACATAAATAGTTTATAATTTTCCATTAACAAGACGTGTCATGTGGGTCTGTATGAAAGGGACCTAGGGAAGGAATATACTCACATCTCCCCACTGAAAATCAGGGCTTACAAACTATTCAGCTACAAATAAAAATATAACTGTTGCGCAGAAAATATTATTGTAGTTACAACTACTCCATTCAAAGTACTGTGAACCAGGGATAAACAAAGCCCAAAGCTTCAGCAATACGCCTTAGCTGGTTTATGTGTATTTGTAAATCCAAAATATGCTTTCAATTATGTTGTTGCAAACAGTTGGTCAGGTTTAACAAATACCAACCTAACATTGTGAGTGACCGTCCTTCATTGTAACTGTGGCTACCTGATAACTTGTCATAAAAGAAGTACCCACTTAGAAATAAAAACGATATTGCACATTTGAATACTATTAGTGTATAAACAGTAGCTCTCTTAGAAGGGAATGCCTAAAGCTCTGCCTATTAAGACTAAAGCGACGAGATTCAGAGGAGCTCTGGCAAATATTTGCATTGCTGAAAGTCTAGTGTTTTTCTCTCTTTTAAAACGAGTTTATTCATTTTCCCAAGTAAAATGGGATTTAGAGCAATGAAACCCTTTTACTGAGCTGTATTTGCAGCGGGATTATCAGGTAAGACTCTTTAAACATGACTCGGCGAGAGCAGTTCACCCACAATTTCACTGAAGTGATTCTATTTTCTTTAGGATTCATTCCTACAAATACACTTTGAAACAATCAATCAGATGGTCGGATAGTGTATTTGTGGTTGAATAATACGTCTTTCCTCTCATTAAATTGTCTTCACATGTTCTCTCTCCACTAGCCGGACTGTCACCTCCACCTCCACCTACGCTGGGCGGACAACCCCTACGTGTCGGGGACTGTCCACACCAAAGACTCTGCTCCAGGTCTCATCATGGGTGCTGGTGAGTCTCCCGACTTTTTGATGTGACCTTCTTTCAACCTTGCATTTATAAATGTGATTCAAGTCAATGAGAATCATATAGCCGAAATCTACCGATCATAAACCATATTTTTGGCCTCAAGGGGATTAGCAATCTGTGCAGCATATGACACCATATGTCTTTACACTCAGTATGAATCAATTATAGCTAGATCGGTTACATGTGTATTTTTACAACGGATCCAGGATGAGGCAGGCAACTTTAGGTGTCACTAAAAGCACTTCACACCACTTCATCTCTATCAGGGAGACCTGGATAGAGGTTCCACAAACATACAAGATCACACACCATTCAAACATATAGTATTACAAAAAAGTGAGAGAGAGAGAGACAAGAACTTCATCCACACAAGGGAAGACAAGACGAGAGGCTGAACCTCCTCAAGGACCAAGATACAGATCCAAAACATCTAGAATGAGGCACTGACCGCCGGAAGAGACAGGGATCGAGGGACAGCCAAGGGTCCAGCACAGAACTGCCTTTGTGAAAATAATGGACCCGGAGGAGAAAGTAGAAAGAGAGAGGCACACAGCTGTGCTTGTGAGACACGAATAAACAAAGGGTTAGAGATATATGGTGGTGTTCTGTTTACTTCGTCATCAGGGAAACATTGACTATACTTCTACAACTATTACCAGGATTAATTACCTTAAAGTAACTGTCCTGTTAATGTCTGGTACCCTGCTTAAAGCAACATGCCAGAATAAAGTAAAAGACACTGCTAGCAAGTCACTTTTCAAAAGGGCTGAATGTGGAGTTTCACCAGTATTATCATGCATTGTATAACTTCAATGGTCAGCAAAACCAATAAACGTGGACACATGAAATACAGGAGTTACTGCAGTGTAGAGGCTAAAGCTGTATTGAACTGTAATGAACTTCAGGAAGCGCACCAACATGCATTAGCCAACTAAATCCACATATGCATAATGCAAACTGAAGCACATTTCACAAACTCACCCTTCGGCCTAGTGAACCATTTTACGACAAACACTAATTCCAAAGGAGACCACATACATGGCTCTTTGTCACCACACTACCCTGTTGGCCTGCAGCAGAGATTAGGAGCTGTAGATGTTTGATTAACTCACTTCTTTCAAACTCCACACCCCTAGCTTCTTCTTTTTGTACAACAGACGCTGACTCAAATCACTTGAGGGAATTATCAGACTTCAAACAGAGACAAAGTGTAATTTGTTTCACAAAAGCAGTTGCAAACTCTTTGATCCATCTTAGATTCCCTTTTTATCCCTGGAATATAGTTATTTATTATGCTATGCGTTACTTTAAACACAGCTAAGACCATGTATGACGCTGCTCACACTGTGAAGTGATCTTAAATATCATGCAGCAATAAAACACTTTTCAAACCCTGTGCATTAAAGTCAAGTGAGTGAGTCATAGTGAAATTCTAATGCATTCCCTCTATACATAACTCTTTATAGATAACTGACACAAACACGTATAAACAATGTCAATTATTTATATACTAATAATTCATGTAGATGGTACAAAAAAACAGATAAGTTGTTAATATCATATGTACTCTATTTATGTTTTGTGTATCTCATGTATAGCGCAATGCATTATATTCCTGTGTACGTGTTTGTTAGGCTGTGTGGTTTGTTTTTAGTCTGCAGCCTACAGTAACACTCCATTATAAGCATGCAGTCACTGTGCTGAGCTATAGAAAGTGCCACTTCACCAGAAAAAGCTCCATTTACCCTGGGAGAAGCCATGACACAAGTATTCCCTTCAGTCTGTGCAGTGGTGGGCTATTAAACCACATTGCGTCATGCCTGAGCACTCAGAGGGCTTCGCTGAACCAAAAGCAATTTTACTTATTTAATACCTTGTTGTGTTTGTTTGCAAGCATTCCTGACAGAAAGCGAAAAATAGCATGTCGTAAAAATTGAATAAGGATAAAAAAGCTACCTGTGTGTGCGTTTATGAGATAGGGGAAATAAGTGTTCCAGGTCATTCTTCGTATCTTGCCGCCTGCTACTGGAGCCAACTACCATAAAGCATTATAAAAACACCAAATAAGGAAATATTTGAAGTATTGTATTTCATGAGTACGGAGCCCTAAAATATAATAAATAAAACAAGGCCGTTTTATTAATTAGTGCGCACAAGATGTAATTCGTGGCCTCAATTTAAATAAAATGAGGCCACGCTTTATTAATTTGACACACACACACACATCATGTAGCATTTCACGTTTCCATAGCAACAACAACTTTGTGTCAACAGCGTAAACTCACCTTCAAAATAAAAGCATCTAAATAAAACAGGAAGTTAACCTAAATAACATTTAAGACGCATACAACTGCAACGAAAGTAACAAAAACAATGTCATATCCTTTTCAGTTTCACAAATTGGGTTATTTACACATCATGCACCCGGGTGACGTGTGTGTGTGTGTGTGTGTGTGTGTGTGTGTGTGTGTGTGTGTGTGTGTGTGTGTGTGTGTGTGTGTGTGTGTGTGTGTGTGTGTGTGTGTGTGTGTGTGTGTGTGTGTGTGTGTGTGTGTGTGTGTGTGTGTGTGTGTGTGTGTGTGTGTGTGTGTGTGTGTGTGTGTGTGCGTGCGTGTGTGTGGCTAAAACGTAGCAGCCTCAATCTCTATTCAGCTGCTCTGAAGGTAAACACAGTGAAGGCGCTGCGTAAAAGACACAGCTCTCTCTCTGTGCGCAGATAGCAGATACTGTGAGGGTCACGGACATGAATTCATAGATCAAGGCAGACTGGTTCACAGACTCTGCTGTTTTGCGAATCCGGTGCTTGAACAAATAGCTCTACACCTCTGGCCGAAATGTCCCTAAAATTAAGTCCGAGTTTGAAATACATCTCAAATGATGTATGCACTGTCATTTCCCCACAAAAACATAACAGTCTGCAATGAAACGGTTGTCTCCTGTGCGCTCCACTTCCTACTTGGCGCACCGGTAACTTTTTAAGTATCTTGTGCGAACGAGAAAGTATATCGTGGGCACATATTTATAAAACGTGGCTTCGTTTTATTTAAATTGAGGCCACGAATTACATCTTGTGCGCAAAAATTAATAAAACGTGGCCTCGTTTTATTTATGTTTCTCTTTATGAACCCTACAGGGCTCCGTACATGAGCTATACATGAAAAAATGTAGTTGGCGTGGCAAAAAAAGCATGTTAATATGTTGTCTAACATTGTGACATGGCTTGTTTTGGGTCACTTTTCAGGAAGCCTGATAGCCTGTTAGCTTTTTTGGAAAAAATAGGTTATGTGTCGTTTTCAATGTCTGACTCCTGAAATATGTCATTTCAAAAACAGATGAATAAGCAATTCTCATAAAATTAGGAAAGGTATCAAGCTCTTTAGAGTATTTTCTCTCATTTTGTATCTGTGTCATGACTCATACAAGACTCACCACCAGATGTCATTTTGTAAACTTTCTTTCAGGTAACCTTGGCTCCAAGCTAGTAGAGTATAAGGAAGAGATGTACATCACCTCAGACTGCGGAAAGACATGGAGACAGGTACATTCTGCCCTTTCCTGCCTCTTCTTCTTTCCCTGTACTGTGGGTATTTGTTAATGACCCACTCTGCATGTTCCCTCTGCTATCATAAGACACACTGAGAGGATACAAATGTTAAAACAAATTGTTTTTACTCTTAAACTGTACAGCAAAGTATGACAGAAAATGAAAGAAAATGTTTTCGGTTCCAAACATTTTATGTTACTACTTTTAAGGTTTTCGAAGAGGAGCATCACATCCTGTACCTGGACCATGGTGGGGTCATTGTTGCCATCAAGGACACCTCCATTCCCCTCAAAATACTCAAGTGAGTAACATTATCTCTTAATTTGAAAAAACTGACCCATCAAAAGTCCATGAATCATTGGTAGGATACAAACTCCACTCCATTGTTACTGAACAGAGAAAGACCAGTCACTTCCCTAGTCCAGTCCTTTACCCTTCAAAATATTTCAAATCCCTTCCACAGACAATGTCATGCTCAGCAAGATGCTATCTCATCGACCTTAATAAATAAGGATGAAATAATGAGAATCCATAGATAAGAGTAGCCAGAAAAAAGCATTTATCACAGCCCTACATCAAAGGACCTTTTAGACTGGCCTTCATCTGTCTCTGGGCGAAAGACCGCCGAGTGTTGTCCTTCACATTTTTCCCTCGCTCCCGCCGCGGCTAAATCAATAAGCCCAAAGCCTTTAGCAATGTGGCGGAAAAAATATTGCACAGAGATGTGGAAGTCTGAGAAAATGTTTTGTAAAATAAGTCTTAAAAGGAAATTAAGCGCAATTTCTACCATTTCACAAAAGGACTGTGAAGGTTTCACCACATCTGGAGATTTCTGTCCTCCATTTTGACATCATTCCTAGTCGTATTGGACTTTCATGACCCCCAATTGTTATTTTCTTCTTAACTGCTCATAATACAAATACAAGACTAAATTAATCATTATTCTCAAGCAAGAAAATATGGAACAGCATTGTTTTTCCTGAATTTTGAGCAATGATTTGCTCTATTTTTAGCCCATTATTCTGTTAGATGGCTGCTTTAATTAGCTGTCTAACTCTTCTCCATTGTTCTACTGCAGCTCCATTTGTATACGGTTGTGCTATAAGACTTTTGTATAAGGGGATATGCTATTCCACTTGGACTCCATCAGACCTTTTTAGAGGTTTAATCATATTAGCATGTCATGCCCAATTTTTGATAGGGCTGCCAACTCTTGTGCAACTCAAGCATTTACACGTTCCACACACTCTCACGCCCCATGTCGGAAAAAAAGTAATATTTATGTTCATGTGCGCAACAGCTCACTTATTATTTTAAATGAGCAGTTGACAAATCTGAAATGTGTGTGCAAATAATTTGACAGCAGGATAACAAATACGATCTGCAAAGCCTTTACCATAGCAACAAAGTATTTAGCAGCTTTGCTTGTAATCCTTCTTTCTGACTGCATGTTTACCAGCTGATAATCACATTGTACTCCTTGTTAGCACATCATCATCATCATCATCATCATCACACAGCCTTCAGTGCGAGCCACACACTGCTCGATTTCAAATTGATCCCTCATTGATTCCCATCATGCAGTAACATTTACTCAGCACTGCTGCCACTGTTGACTGCAGGAGTCAGTGAATAAGGCAGGGCAGATGGCTTTAGTTTGTATTTGTGTAAGATCAAATTCCACATACTGTAAAAAAGTTTTTTTTTTCTATTATCAAGTGGTACACTCTATTTAAAAGTATATAATTTAGTTCATTTGTAACTAACAAGCTCCACTTCTAATGCACATTTGCTAACTACTATTGCTATTAGATTAAACCCACTTTAGCTAGCTAGCATGCTAAATGTGCTAATGATAGCTCTATAGAATTAACGCTAGGTTAATACTGGAAGCTAATTTGCCAAGACATGCTAACGTTGCAGCTTATAGTGCATCAGAAAATCATATTGTTTAATTTGTTCCTTTTATTTGTGACACAATGTTCTAAAAACTCGCAAAAAGTGTTTTATGGTCTGTGGCAGATGATTAATATCCTGGGTGTGTATTGTTTTTATAGTCATTAATAACTTAAGTGCAAGGCTTTGAGAAACGATGATGTCTTTATTTGCAGGGACTTTAATCAATGTGGTGATGGTGAACATTGCTTGTTTCTCCACAGATTTAGCATCGATGAAGGGCGGACGTGGACTGTTCACAACTTCACCAGCACCTCTGTGTTTGTCGATGGACTCCTGAGCGAGCCAGGAGACGAAACCCTGGTTATGACGTGAGTCTCAAGATCAAAAAATATCTTTTGTTTCAGGACTTCAGTAATCTGCTATCCCATTTCAATATGAGAACAAATTATAATATATTCAATGGAGAATTATCTGTGGAATCGCAAATTACTCACATTATAAAAGCCTTTTCTTCCTCCTTTCAGCACTTCCTGCTCTTTGTTTGCTTCTAATGAGTTGTATAGAGGGTCAGAAAGGGCAAGCAGAAGCTGGCCTCACTCGTACATTTCCTGCAGTTTTCTCTCTCTTCCAGAAGGGTTGATTTCTGTTACTGCAGAGGTTGATGGAAGAGAGGAGCCTGTATGCCTCTGCCCTCCCTCCCTGTCTCATTTCTCCCCTCTAGCCCTCAGAAAAAGCGTATAAAAAGGCGCCTACTCGGTTAAACTTTTTGGAGCACCCTGTTCAAGCCTGCCTCACACATTGAAAACCTCTGAGATGACACTTTAAAATTGGGGTCAGATCTAAGGACAGCTAAAGTATATTTCACGTCTGTTGTGAAATCAGGAACCAAACAGGCCTCCTGACAATGCTGTAACATTTGAATCGAGAGATTTTCCTGAATCTTTTCATAACTCAGGTGAAGCACAAAAGTCCAAATTCGCTTTCAGCAGCTTCTGAAAGAGTTTGTGTATTGGCTTCAAAAGATCCATCTCGTTGGAAATGTAGTTTCTCCCCTCTGTTTCACTCCCTTTCCCCCCCCCCAATCTTTCCATCAGTAAGTTAGCTGGAGTGAGACTTGTCACATCATCTCAGGCTCCAGACCTTGGCGGAGAGATAAGGGAGGCTTCCAACTGTAATCTGCTGAGAAGGGCAAAGAGATGGCCACACACACACCAATATAGACACACAGACCGACACACTCACACCTACACCTGGCTCCGTCGAGATAGGTTTGGCGGCCAAAGAGGGGTGTTGAGGGCAGCTCATGTCTGACAGATTAGCCAGGGTCTATTTCCTTGCCAGTGAGTTTCGATTTTTGACTGCACCGCCTGCCATCCCATAATGATGTCTTTGAACAGTGACTTAGCACCAAGGACAGGTGGGGGAGCAGAGAATGTCAAGCACTCATACTAATGACAGCTGGTCAAATATCAAAGATGGGCTGATAGTCACATGCCGTTACAGTAAAGCGTCATGCCATCCTATTCTGATGCTGACAAATAATGTTCACTATAGTAATTCCCTCAACACACGGTTACAAACATTATGTCTTCCCTGCATTTACTCTAATAGACAAGTGCTCTCTTTGAAATGTCTTGCAAACACATGGTTATGTTTTCTCACTCTTAGCTCAGTGGAGGGACAAAAGGAAAACTTCTCCGACTGATTGGAGTGTTATTTGTTCATTAATAGAGCTTCTTTGTCTCTGTAGTGGCTACTCCGAACTGGAAAAGTGCTAACACACTCAGTAATAGAGATGATTTCAACACTGTGAAACTAACAGTGATTGCCCTTTTCAACCAGAAACATTAGCATTATTGACAACCTTTTATTATTTCACCAAACATTTGTGAAAGGCTTCATGTTTCCCTCTTTTTGTTGTCAAGTTTCATTCACCAACATTCTTACCAAATAGTAAAAGGAAGAACTTTAAACTTTGGTCGTACAATCAGCAGCCAAAACATAACCAATTTAGCCGTGTCAGTACTCATTCGAAAAAAGACTTCTACAAATGCTGATCTAGAAAGTGGTCAAGATGTGGTGTTTATGTTATTTAGTGGGTTATTTTTTATGATCAGGGGAAAACTGTTCCCCTGATAAACAGAAGAAACAACAATAAGTTAAGGGATTACAATGACAATTCTTAGAGAGTCCTTAGTCGAGTGATGACGATGGCGAGTAGCAAAGTGTAGAAGCACAACAAATGTGTCAGTTAGGTCAGTCTGCTTCACCGACACATCGACATTACCTATTTTATACTATAAAACACCTCCATCTAGTGGAGACGATGAGTGGCTGTAGGTTTGCTTCTGTCAGACTTTATAGTAACAAAGTTCTATTCATGAGTGTATTTATAATCCACATATAATGCTGAAAGCCACTTTAGGTTAGAAACATCTTCGCTAGAGCTTATTTTCACTACATCATACAAACCAGCTGTTTTTTCTCGCAAAGTCTTCTGAACATTTCATAACTCAAATGCAAGGATTTGGAGGTTCAGATTCCTTCAGATGACAAAACTAAGATTTGTACATTTGAAAGTCTGAAGTGTATGAAGAGGAAGTGCGTTTTTCAGTTGAGGTTTAGTCGGCTAAGTGTGCACAGGAAATCTTTGACGGGTCTTTCTGGGAAATGCGTTTGCTGTTAGATATTGTAAGATAAGTTAGAATGGTTGAAAGTTAGCTGTTAAGTAAATAACATCCAGGCAACAAAAAGAGACTTCTAAAACCAATCATGCTCCAACAGTTTGATTATCTTGTTGTGAATTGCCCTGCTCTCAAAGAGATGGACTTATCTTCTTACCATTATGTGTCAGAAGAACTCTAGGTATCCAGCTGTGTACCCATTTTGGCTAATAACAACTAAAGCTGTGATTTGGCCCTTATCTCTGTATATTATGTGTTTTGCATCCCAAAGTCTAAGTGCTCAGGGGTCACATTGTTCCTCTGGTGTGTGTTTGCAGTGTGTTCGGCCACATCAGCTACAGGTCGGACTGGGAGTTGGTCAAAGTGGACTTCAGGCAGTCGTTCCCCCTTCAGTGCACTGAGTCTGACTACGAGTCCTGGCAACTAACAGACATGCAGGTAATGCACACACACAAATACAGTACCGGCATACAAAGTGTTACATGTGTTTCTTTTATTTGGAACCACATTTATATTTCTCCATGGTCTTATTCAGGGAGAGAAGTGCATTATGGGCCAGGAGCGGAGTTTCAGGAAAAGGAAGGACACATCGTTCTGTATCAAAGGAAAAAGCTACACCTCAGCTCTCAACACTAAACCCTGTCAATGCAACGAGAAAGACTTCAGCTGGTGAGTGCTTCAGGATGTAGAAAGAAAACTGATTTTAGCACATTTGTATTATGTGTTCTCGAATACAGCACAAAGCCAAAGCCAGGCTATGCTACATGACATCTCTGAAAATATTACAAACAGGCAAAGAGTGCTTCTGTGGTAATATTGCAGGACAATGTGTTTACTCATACTTGCTATGGTTCATAACTGTAACTTTGGTGTGTGTTTGTAGTGACTACGGTTTTGAACGCTCCCAAACGGAAGGCAGTCGCTGCTTCGCTGACTTCTGGCACAATCCAGATTCACCACCAGAGGACTGCCATTTAGGACAAACCTACGAGTCAAGCACTGGGTCTGTACAACTGCACAAACACATTCACACACCCATGTATATTTGGGTTTAAATGAACATAAATACGTATATATATACATGTATACATGCATATACACATGGAAAACTACGATTTACATTAATATGTTGTACCAGTGTACAGAAGAGGCAATTTAACACAACATGGATCCATAAAGTCTAATATTTTCATACATTTATATTGTAATGTTTTTATATTTAGGGTCTTTAATGTTGTTTGTTCTCTAATTACGACCCTTAGTCAGGATGTGCTAAGTTTAGCTTTGCAGGAAACAGGGGGATACAGATAGCCTGTTGGTCACAAAAATCGTTACAGATCTTATCTAAACCTAAAAAAAAACATTCTCTTATAGGCGTACACTGCATACACCTCCTTTCTCTGACATTTTTACTTTTCTCTGCTGTGTTTCAGCTACAGGAAGGTCATTTCCAACATTTGTGAAGGAGGGCTGAACAAGCAGCAGAGCGCCAAACAGCACAACTGCCCTCTGCTGCCCCCTAAAGGACTACAAGTCAGTATCAAAGGGCAGATGTTGGCCGTGGCGCCTGGGGATGACATCACATTCATTGTCCACCAGGAACAGGTAGGATGAAAGTGATTTTCTTGTTGTATTTTTTTAAAAAGCTTGCCGGCAGGCATGTCTGAAGCTCGACCAACAACCAATCAAATGAATCTCCCGCCCCTGACACACAAGCAGCTGTTTGATTGGCTAGAGCTTGTACTGGCAGATGATTTGATTGGCTGACACTTCCACCGAAAGCTTCAGACGATTCAAAAGTTGAACATTGCTCAACTTTTGAAGCCTGAGATGCCTGGAAATCTCTGCTTTGCTTCCCACAATGCAGTTCGGCGAAAAGTGAGGGAAAGTGACATCACCCCATTCAAAGTGAAGGGGCAGAAGCGTTGGAAGATTTTTTTTAACGCTGCTGTGTGGACGGGCCGTTACTGTCTTTCAATTAGAATTCACTGAAGATCCTTGTTTCCTCCAACCAGGGTGACACCAGCCGTACAAAGTACCAGGTGGACCTCGGTGATGGGGTCCGAGCCATCTACCAAAACCTGACGGTGACAGATGAGCCCATCCAGCATCGCTATGAAAACCCGGGCGTTTACAAGGTCACAGTGAAGGCCGAGAATATGGCAGGGCACGATGAGGCTACCATGTACATCCAGGTTGCAGGTAAGCCTTCCAGACATTGAATGATATTAATGGACCACTCTGCAGATTTCTATTTTAGAAGGTAGTCTTTAAAGGGCAAGTCTAAGCCGGTCTTAATGGGAAGTCCTAGTAAAGTCTGAAGGGGTTAGACGGCAAAATTCCAGTCTCAACTTTTTTCGTGCCTTGTGTAACAGAATTGATGTGAGAGCTTGAATTATATGTTCAGCTTTGTATTCTTATAATTGATGTTTTCTTCTCTTCCAGCCCCTCTGCAGAAAGTGCACCTGGAAGTGGTTCCCATCACTGGGAGAAACCACGAGGTGAATCTGACAGCCATAGTTCTTCCAATTGAAGCCAACCTGTCCGTCTTCAACTGGTGGATCGGAGAAAACCTGCAGGTAAAGGACACACTACAAACTCCATCTTATACCACCCATTACCATAAAAATTGTTTTTTTTTCTTACAAATTAGTTTCCTTTAAAGCTACATTCCTAAGTACATTTTCACGGCAACTTCCATCATGTCAAAGAAGCCATTATTTGATCCCAGACTTCTCAGACACTCAGTGTTTACACAGTTGACCAATCTGACAGCCAAACTGTTGACTTTCTCCCGTAGCCCAAGCTGACTCTGCAGAACAGCCTCCTGACTCACTTCCCAGAGACAGGAGAGTTTTCAGTCACCGTCCAGGCGTCTAATGGCCGCTCGATGGTGCAGGATACCAGAACTGTGCGAGTCTACGGTAAAAATGACATTTCAAATCACCTCAGTTTTTTAAATGCAGAAGCAAATATCAACTGAATATAGGAAAAAACAGATCTTTTTGTCAAGGTCAATTATTCTCTCCACATTTCATCCACTCATTGGATGTGATAGTAAATAAAACAGATAACATACAGTGCCTTTCCACATCTGTACTTTCTGTTGTATTTGCTGTTTCATCTTCAGCAGTCAACATGTAATGTATGTGGCTCATTTTAAGCTGCTGATGAGTTTGGAATGATGACTGTGGTGGTTGCTAACTACTCCTGCTGTTCTACCCGATCCCAGATCATTTCCAGGTCATCCCTCTGAGTTTCAGCACAAACCTGGACCGCTTCAACCCAAACATCCCGGAGTGGAGAGAGGACATTGGCCAGGTTGTCACCAAAATAATCACAAAGGTAAATTAACATTGATGCTTTTGTTATTCCTTAGAAATTGGTATGCTAACTGACTAACCTGGTAAGTCCTGTTTTGTAATTCAGCTTGTTCCTCTATAGGCAATACTAATAGTGAGTCACTGTAGCGCCAGTCTGACCACATTCCCTAATACAGGCATGATCCATGATCTTTAGCTGCTAAATGCTTCTCTAACTTAGCCAGTGAGGCTCTAACATTATCTGCTTTGTAGTGCTGTGTAGTGTGCAGTAGGTATATCAAAAGCTTTTTCACTTGAACAGGCAAGACTGAGTTCATGAAAGCAGTTTCCTGGCCACAAAACCAAAACGATGAGCTTAAATAAGCTGTAGAACTATGTAGAGCCAAGGATTTGCAGAGTTATGGGTTCTGTTCAATACTAATGAGCCTTATATATAAATATAAACAGAATATGGAATGACTGACCTTTAGCTATCTGACCTCAGAACACAGGTGTCCCTCTGGACTCCCTGGTTACCGTGGTGAACCCAGGCCTCCCCACCACTGCTGACCTGTACGTCCTCCCACTGGACAGCACACCTACCAAGAGGAGCATTTTTGTAGATAAGGTAATATCCCATTTCATGCATAGAAAAGCATATCAGCTTTAACAAAAAATTGCAATATGAGGCATATGATTTTTATATAAGTACAGTCCTTATGGTATGAATATTGATTTGTTGCTCGACTTATATTAATCTGCTTTGATTTTGTTTTTCACTTCAGTCCAAAATATAGCCTTTGTTTGATTTCATATTGTCTTGTGTTCAGCGTATTCCCGCCATCATACAGGCCTTCAACAGCAACAACGTCAGCTTCGTGGTGCGAGGAGGTCTTAAAGTGCTGGTGATGCTAGCTGACCCAAACGCAGGTATTGTTTATTTAAATGCTATTTGCATCACCTTCTATATCGTCTGCTCTATATGACTACCGTTTATGAGGTTTTTATTGATAATTACATGTTATTGATTTTGTCCAAGGGCTAGGGCTAAATGCTAATGACTCAACAACTACAGAAGCAAAGACTGGTGCGTTCATGAACTCTACACCTGCGGCTTTACCTCAAAGCGCTCTAATTCATGTGCCTTTTCCTTTCCTGGTTTCCTAAAAATTCCAAATCCAGTTTGAGTCTGTCTGTACTGTCCTGTGCTTTTTCAGTCACCCGGGGCCTCATTTATAAACAGTGCGTACGCTCAAAAGATGGCATACGCCAGTTTCTAAGCAATCTTTGCGATTTATAAAAAACAAAGTTGACGGGAAAATGTGTGATCCTCCACGCAAACTCTGACCCATGCGTACAAACTAAGCACAAAAACGGGAAGGACGAGAAACTGCGACACCGTTGGCAGAAGGAAGAGAAATATGTGAAAATGATACATGAGGTAACATTTTATTTATTGTATCATATATGAAGAATTCATTTGCATTGATTGATTAAAGCCAATCTTTAAATTATTAAACAAACGCCTCAGTGCACACAAAAACCTAACTTGGAGAAATAAATATATACGGATATGTTGTTGAAAACCACCTCGAATATGTTGTCTTAATGTTATGACATAATTATGATGCGGTAAGCAGGAGGACAGGATTACGTCTAAACTGAGGCCGTTTTGCTTTTCTATAGGTTGTATAGATACGGGCATGGTTTTATGCCGTTTGCTAAGACTTGATAAGTTGCTCATAAAACACAGGAGGTATGGAAACTAAGAACACTATATATTTGGTAGATTTGGCATCTGATATTAAAGAACACATTTGTTTTTTTTCATTTAACTGGTGGATATAGAGTTGCCGTGGGGGGGGGTTTGAGATGCACAGGCTGCAGTGGAGACTCTGCGCACAGCTGATCGACAGCTGGAACACAAACCACCAAATACAAAAATAAACATTAATTGACTCCACTCCGCAGGGATCCCCGATACTCTCTTACAGTTGCTCATCATGGGGGGTGGGGGGGGCTCCTGTCCCGTCCCCGGTACAAACACGCTAACACACTGCCTGAGGAAGGATATGTGTATTTTGTCATTAACTTTTTTCAGACCACTTATTTATTTATTTTGGTGACGATCCGACCTCCATGCTGCTACTCTGTTCAAACTGCATCCACCAAACAATATGATTTGTCTCCAACTCCCCAAAAGAACCAAAATCTGACACGGTGTGAGATGTCTTTTTTAGCTGTTCTGTCGTCATTTCCTGCGATCTTCTTCATGCAGTCAGTCAAAATGAATGATCCTACGGGGCGTTTCTTTGACTATTTATAGACAAATATGGGCGTTACGTGAAGCCCGCAAAAGCTGCACCGCATTTCAAGTTGATTGTGATTTATAAAGGGAAACCGGCGTAGGACGTGCCGCACGCAAGTCCTACGCCGGTACGCAGTGTTTTATGAATTGGAAAATGTCTGTGCGTATTTATTTGCTTTGTCCTACGTAAGCAACCTTCCCACGGGAATCCTATGCAAGGCTTTATAAATGAGGCCCCTGATCATCCTTTGAGCTGAGTTGAGAATGGTCTAACGGTGCGCTCTACAAAAAAACATAAGAAACGCTATTTCATTTGGATGTTTTCTTCCTACCAATTCTGTCCCTTTGCTCCTGCAGTTATTGCCTAAAGAGCTTCTTCCATTTCTTTTGGGATTTCTATAGCAAAAATTAACCAGAATTATTTCTTACTGCAACACAGTATTTAACTATTTATCTGTGTAAACATCACCGCAGGCTACCGTGGAGCCGCTGGAGGTCCGGGTGTTTGGGCTCTAGCAGCCATCTTCCTAATCGGCATGATCGCCACCGGCTCCTTCATCCTCTACAAGTTCAAAAGGTGAGCCATGTTTTGTGTTGGGAACTGGTAGGAGCAGTTCTGGTTATAAGCTATATATATATATTATTAATATCTACTGTACATCGGTACAATCATTCATAGGTATTGATAATGATGGGGCATCAAAATGAGGTAGTTGCAGTATCCTTAAAAGTAAGTGCCAATACATGATTGATTATGAAGAATAATATAATTTAATTTACACTGAATTACCTCAAGGGATAGCACCGTGAAATCAGGGAATCTTATTACTAATTAATGTAAGTGATATTCAAAAACTGTCTAAAATTGGAAATGATCAATTCTGAACTCTGATTAATAATTAAATTACTTAATACAACGAAAATATTGAGGGATTTGGAGTTATTTGCGTGGAAGACACCCTAACCATAACAGTAAACACATGTTTATACGAAAAAGCATTTATTTAAGACTTATTAAAGGCAAACGAATAATATGAATTAAACTAAACGAAGGAAAGCAAAATAAAGTATGTAATTGTGCATGGCTGCGTAACTTTTGTGGGTGTGTGTCTTTCTTTTTCCAGCCCACTACGTACCACATAGCATGAGCATGCATTTCTAGGTCACCACAGGAGTCACTTTGAGAGGGAGCTTTTGAGATCCACTGTGCACACTATGTAAACTGAGCTTCTTGAACATGTAGGATATACCGTATGTGAGTTAAATTACTTGTAAAAGATGGTTAGTGAAACAGTACTGTCAAACAAACGTGGCCACCGACCAATGTCATTGGATTTGAGGAAGAGGATGTCTTCTGCTAGGCTGGAGGACGTACTGAGGCAGAGGGAGAAACATTGTTGGGCTTCCATCGCAGGCTCGTTTCTCCCTGATCCGATTACACTTCTCCAAAACAGTAGGATTTAAATGAAGTTCAGTCTAATGTGATTGAGATCATGGACATTATTGTGGATAAGGAGTAACATGTCTCAGAGGACCAGCGGATGATCACTAAAGGCCCCTTTCAAAAGCCTGTTTGGTTTCATCATTGCATTTTTCGCAATAACACTTTTATTTCATGTCATTTCGCTCACACTTAATCATATTGTTAGCAGTTATAGCTCCTCCTATCAGCATGACAACGTCTCATCACCTTCCCAAACACAAACGTCCCCCAAAAAGTCACTTGAATTAGAACATGCAGTGCGAAACTACAGCCCCATCTTATGAAAACAACAATTTTCCAAAGTCCTTGGCTTAGGACTGAGGATGCTTATCCCCCACTTTTTTTCAGGAAGCTCCCGGGCAACCGCAATGTCTACGCGCAGATGCGCAATGAGAAGGAGCAGGAGATGACCAGCCCTGTCAATCACAGCGAGGACACCCAGCACATCATCCAGGGGGAGGAGTTCATCGACGACGACCTGGACTCGCAGACTCTAGGTAACGCAGGAGGTAGCCCCGCCTTCCGTTCGCTTATAAGGACTACCACTAACCACTGCTACTAAAACCCAAGCCACTAACACCAGCAGCTAACACACAACAAGGTACAGGACTCTCCCCTTTTTTATCCTTTTATTGGTACAGCTAAAAGCCTTTTGGGTTTTAAACTCATATTTAAATATTTCAAACTTTTGCAAATGTTACTTCCAAGGCACTATATGGTCATCATCTGCATTTTGAAGCACATTCATACGTATCGTAACAATATGTGATATCATGTGATTGTTTCATATCCATGCGTAATACCCAAAACAGGAGATCCTGTCACTAAATGGGCTGAATATATTTGTCATTCCTTTCATTCAGAACGCTTTGAAACTGATGGCAGCTTGGTCAAATTGAAATGTATTTCATAACGAACTCATAACTGTATAAATTATTCAATTATGGACATTTCTAATTTCATATGCAAGTATATATGCAACTAAATGCTTTCAAGTATGCAAAAACGTTTATTTGTATTGATATTCAATATTTCTCTATATGGCATTTTTACTGATGGAGGCAAGTGAAAACAACTTTTTACTGTTGCTGTCAAATGCCCTCAGTCTGTCATAGTGGAAATGGTTTGCACTTTGTATTCTTCAGCATTGCTCATCTGTTTGTCTGTGTCGTGTTTCTTCTCCTCTTTTGTTGCTAGGTAACCATTCCGGTGTGGTCCTGAGCATCAACTCCAGAGAACTACATAGTTACCTGACCAGCTGATAGCTGCCATGGTAAAATGCTAACGAGCAAGCATAGCTTAGCTGGCTAACGAACACAGGGACTCCACTCAGCCTTCCTCCTTTCCCTCCGCCTCTTCTTGGGACACTGCATCTCTGCACAACTCCTGCTTTGGATGTAATTCTGTTGGGTTCCTTGTGTTTTATTTTTGTTTGGGAGTGGTGGTGGTGGGACGGTGGTGGTCACCGCAAAGGACACTTGCTCAGTTGTGTTTATGAGAATCTGTGTGTATGTTATCTCTCACTTGGTAGACACTCAAATCAAGCCGCATGACTCACTGCACTGGTTTCCATTACCAAGAGCCACTGTAGGTAAAGTGGCCAAAGACAGATTTTATAAAATGATTTCCCAAGCATTAGGATAGTAAAATCTATCATAAAAAACGTTAAAAAAAAGACTCTTCCCACCTCGTTGTTCTCCCTCTTTCTTTACCACACATGATAGAAACTCTCTCTTCACAGGCAATAATGGTCTCCCAACGGAATGTAGGATATGATAAGCCCTTGTACGTTTGCATATGAGGAGTGTAAGTATGCAAACACAAGAGGGCAGTGTTGCACTTTTTTAAATTCCTACTCACAGGAGACTATGTCCACAGAGCATTAACAGTTTTCCCAGATCCCACTTCATCCAAATAAATGTTTTCCCATTTGTAACTCAGATATTAAGTTGTGTGTGGTGTTTTAAATCAGCACTACCTTTTTAGGAGCTCAACGTCTGTCCCATGGTGCCTAAAATGGCAGATATTTATCTGCTCAGTGACACTACCCGTTGTCAAGTTTTATTTATTTCCCCCACACACTCTTTCTGGGTATGTTAAAGCGGACTTTTCACCCTGGAGTCAAACGCCACCATGGAAGGAAGGTGTAGTTGATGTATTTTACTGTATCAGCCTATATTAGGCATAGCCCGATGTTCAATTATGTCTCCTTAAAGGTTTGGTTTGTTGTAAATGTAAATATGTAAATATGAAGAATCTCCACTTTGTACATATTCCCTTTGACATGTGTGCGAGTGTTTTACACTACTACCAAAATACACAATTTTTGCAGCAAATCCTCACTGAGTTTACTAAATTTGAAAAATGCTCACCGTATCCAATTTCCTCAACGCCATTGCCTGCTTCACATGCATCCATTTTCAACTCGTTCAGTATAATCTCATGAGCAAGATAATTCGATGATCTTCATCGTTAACTGGAGAAAAAGTCCTCATCTTATAAAGATACTCACAACTACACAGTGACAACTATGTACATGGATATTTTTGATACACTAAGTTTTTCTCAATATGTGTACACACTGGTTATTTTTTCTGTTGCCTTTTGCTGAAGTTTTTTGTTTGTTTGTTTGCACTAATGATGTAAGAAGTGCTGTCAACATGTACTGCACAGCATCTGTCTACAGACTCAAGTGAAAGGCCCCGACAGACTTACAGTGCTACCATTACCACCAAGACCACCCTTTGGTTCGCCTTGTCTTTGATACAAACAGCAGTTAACGTTCACTTGTTCTCATTTCCACCTTAATTCATCTTTTGTACATATTCTGCTCATGTTCAACTTGTTCTTAGTTCTCTAGTGATGTGTCGTCATGTATCAGTGCCCTTAACCTTAACAAAGGGGTAATTAGGAATTATGATATTCCAATATATTAGTGAAAGTTTCACACCTGATGGCACGACCATGCAATTTTGACCACACTGGTTTTCTTATGTTATTTTTCTCTTTCTGATGGGCTTGTTTGATCTTTTAATTTTTGCTATTAAAACAATTGTGTGTCCTAATCAGGAAGCCTAATGCACTGAACCTGCATCCTGAAATAAATCACTCCCATAACTTGTATGTCGGTTTGCATTATCATATTGGTGTGTATACGTTTAAGTTATGAACACATCCTAATTATTTTTACAGTTTTTGGTTGATGAGTGTTGATAGTACCCGGCCTGGTTCCTTATTACTTAAGGGAAGTAGCACAGTCAGGCACTCTACACTTTGGTAACAAGTTAAAACACAAAGTTAATACAATCACAAAAAATATGCAACAATGAGGAACTCGAAATGGTGATCTGTAAAACAAAAGATATGTACTGTATAACATAGCAAGACATATCAACAGGTTAAAGCAGTACAGAAAGACAGGGGACTTTGTCTTTATGGTAATGTGTTGCACGCTCCATTACTGAGCATTGGCACCAGTGAGACACCAACGTGCCTCATCGTGCTACATGCTTTGGTTGTCACCCTCTCTCCTGAGGGTGGTGTTCGTCACTGCTGTCTTAATAGTCAGCCTAAGGATTGGCAATCATAGTTTTGCAGTGCGTGAATAAACTTGTCAAATATTCTCTCCATTTTTTAAGAGCTGCTCTTTCTAATTAACAACAAACCAATCACTGATCAGTCAATCAATCAATGTTTATTTATATAGCCCAATATCACACATTTTACATTTGTCTGAGTGGTGCTACAACCCGGCTCCTGGGCTGCAACAGAAAACTGGGAGGCGAGGAGAGACGAGGGATATGAATATAGAATAGTTTATTCATAATAAGAAAGTAATGGAACCAGCAACACGGAGAGAGTGCCCCAACGGAGTGAGAGAGCGACGTATCCGGCTGGGCTCTTCTTGAATGTTTCCGGCAGGTGTAGCTCATCAGGCAGATGCAGCTGGAACCTGCAATCACACACAAAACAGACACGAACAGACGGCACCCCACGTGGTGTGGAGGGGTCGTCACACTCCCCCCCCCATAAAGAAAGGAGTTCCACTAAGAACACCGTCAACTACCCAACAGGACCCTCCTCTCATCAAAACAATACGGCTACATTAGCCTTCAAAACTCCAGACTGACATCTATACTCCTTGTTGTACCAGAGTAGACCTAAAAGACCAGAGCAAACAGCATAGTACCTTCAGGCAAACCCAAACAAACTAGGAACTCTTCTTCTATGCTTCGGTGTGGACAGGAGACAATTCTGGTCAGTCCCTTGAGCCAGCACATGGAAAGGCCCGGAATGTTTTTCTAGAAACGGCAAACTAGCCCTTGGTAACAAAACCAGGACCTGACCCCCAGGACTGCCGAATTGGCTTACCTTTAATTTGACACACGTGTGACATGATTTAATATGCCGAGACACATCTCTCTTTAAACAAGGCCAAAAGACGGGCCAGGCCGTTACCCAGGATAACATCCACACCTTCAATCGGCATTACAGGACGGACCCCCATGGCGACCTCACCCTGCACCAAACCAGAAAAAAGCACAACAGAATGCAGAGGAACAGGCACAACACTCATTCCCATACCTCGCATCAGGACAAAGTCCCCAGTTCTAGATTTTTCAGAAAACGGTAGCACAGAGCTCAGAATGTATGAATCAAACGATGCTGTGTCTTTCAAAATTGTTACCGGCACGCTGATGTCACTTCCCACCAATGACATGTATCCGGTTGACAAAAATGCAGAAAACAGTGGTTCCTTCAACCCGCTTTGCTCGCTAACCTGCTGACAGGGAGAGATGACAGGTAAGGGGGTACCACAGACACAGCACAAGCAGCAGAGTTAAACTGGCCCCCATTATTCCCCGTTCTGGCTTTTGGACAGTCAGCTTTCCAATGCCCTCTCTCCCTGCAGAAATTACAGATTTACGATGGGTCAACCCGTGGCTGACCTCGCATGATCTTCCTCCCGGACCCTGAAGTCCCGACCGCCCCTGTGTATCAGCACGTAGTCATCAGCCAGTACAGCGGCCTCTGCAGCAGTCTTCACCTTGCGCTCACTGATGTACACTGCAATGTGACTGGGTACAGAATTTTTTAATTGTTCCAGAACAATCATATCGCATAATGCAGCATACAAACTCACATTTAGGGCATTGCACCATCTGCTAAAAAAAAGTACCAGATCTCTGGCAAACTCCACATGGGTCTGTCTGCCAGACTTCTCCTAGGACCTGAACCTCTGGCGATATGCCTCAGGAACCAACTCGTAGGCCTTCAGCACAGCGGTTTTAACAGTCAAATATACCTTGCTCTCTCCCACCGTTAGAGCAGAATAAGCTTCCTGGGCCTTACCCGTTAGCACACACTGCAACAATACGGTACTATCTACATCAGACCACTCTCTGCTCTCAGCCACATGCTCAAATAGGGATCTTGCTCACTAAACTGAGGAACAACCCACAGATTACTGGCAACGTCAAACGGAGTATTCGCTCTACCAGAGTAATTAGAGGCCTGGCCGGCAGCCCCAGCAGTTACATTCAACCTCCGTTCCTCTACCTCAAGCCTTTTAATTTCTACCTCTCCCCTCATCTTTTCCACTGCCAGTTTCTCCATTTCTGTCTGCAACAACTCCTTTCTCTGCCCAAAAGTCAGGCCTGCATCACTGCAGCCAGACACATCAACTCCGTCCCTTCTTGGATCCACAGTATACATTTTCCCTTTGAAAGCCCCCAACTCAAACAGATTTGCTCTAACAATCCCTCTTATGTTCTCTTTCATTCTTTTATCCCCAACATCCAAGCGGAAATGTTCAGCAACATAGATCAGCTGCTCACGAGAGAAACCCTCCAGCAGCTCCTCTGAAGGTGCCCTCAAAAAATCCTCTACACTCCCCATGATGATAACACTGTGTGACACGCTCACGCTACTTACACAGCCTACACGCTACTGCGGCCCGTCCCTCTAACTGCCTCACAGAAACTAGCTAAACTCCCCAACTAGTCTTCAGGTGCTAGTTACGACGGGTACTTACGCACTTAATACCGTAAACTCGGCGAAGCGACCAGCAAACCGGCAACTCCACCTGCAGCCGGCGTGCTCCTGAGCTAATAGCTCTAACCACTTTCACACCACACTAACAGCCCCCATTACGACCTCCAAGGGAGACCTTACTGAAGCCTAACAGGGACAAGACCAACGGTACGTGACTGCCGTGAACAAATACTCAGTGCACCACACCTAACTCGTATTCCAAACGACCAGCTGCCTTACTACAAACACTTACCCTCGTCAAAGCCACTCCCAAACAAACAGCCGTGTGCTCCGTTCACAACAAAAGACTCCATTTGCGAAAACTAACTCTGACTGACCAGGTTCAACCAGGAGCCCCCATATGTTACAACCCGGCTCCTGGGCTTCAACAGAAAACTGGGAGGCGAGACGAGGGGTATTAATATAAGAATAGTTTATTCATAATAAACAAGGAAGTAATGGAACCAGCAACAGGTCCCCGAGGCTGGCACGGAGAGAGTGCCCCAACGGAGTGAGAGAGCGACATATCCGGTTTGACTCCTCTTGAATGCTTCCGGCAGATGTAGCTTATCAGACAGATGCAGCTGGAACCTGCAATCACACACAAAACACACACGAACAGACGGCACCCCACATGGTGTGGAGGGGTCGTCACAGTGGACTTCACAGTTTGTGCAGAATATCAGTATGACAATACGACACCCTCTGTCCTTAGACCCTCACATCGTACGAGGAAAGGCTTCCAAAGAAACCCCACAGTTTAAAGGGGAAAATGGAGAAACCTCAGGGAGAGCAACAGAGGAGGGATCCCAGGACGGACAGACGTGCAATAGATGCCGTGTGTAAATTGAAAAGATAATACATTTTACAACATAGGTATTCCTGTGGGAGCCATCAGGGAAGTAGTATGATGAGAGTCAGGCAGGACCACAGAGATAAGTTCAGCCACGACTCGAAATCCAGGACTCAGGATGCAGGACTCAGGACCGCAGCGACAGGATCAGCCATGACTCAGGATCCAGGACCACAGCAACAGGATCAGCCATGACTCAGATTCCAGGACCACAGCAACAGGATCAGCCATGACTCAGGATCCAGGACCACAGCAACAGGATCAGCCATGACTCAGGATCCAGGACCACAGCAACTGGATCAGCCATGACTCAGGATCCAGGACCACAGCAACAGGATCAGCCATGACTCAGGATCCAGGACCACAGCAACAGGATCAGCCACGACTCAGGGTCCCGGCGTAGACAGACACCAAAATGAAATTTCGGGGAAGCTGGGTTATTCTGAACATGAGTACACAGGTACAGACAGAGAAAACGAAGAAGTAAGGTGTGTGGCGCAGTGGACTAGTGCGTTGGTGTTCGGATCAGGGGAGCAAAGGTTCAAACCCCACTGCAGTCAGCATGTCGTTGTGTCCCTGGGCAAGACACTTCACTCCAAATGGCTCCTGTGGGGATTGTCCACAGTATTGTGTATGTAAGTCGCTTTGGATAAAAGCGTCTAACAAGTAACATGTAATGTGTCCCCCGACAGTCTAAGCCTATAGCAGCAAAACTAGGGGCTGAATCTAATCAGCCCTAACTATAAGCTTTATCAAAAAGGAAGGTCTTAAGCGTACTCTTAAAAACGGATAGGGTGTCTGCTGCCCGAACACAAACTGGAAGCTGATTCCACAAAAGTGGAGCTTGATAAGAAAAGGCTCTGGCTCCCATTGTACTTTTAGAGACTCTAGGAACAACCAACAACCCTGCATTCTTGGAACGCAATGCCCTAGTAGGACAGTAGGGTATAATGAGTTCTTTAAGGTTAGATGGCGCCTGGCCATTAAGGGCTTTGTAGGCGAGAAGAAGAATTTTAAATTCTATCCTGTGTTCTATAGGGAGCCAGTGTAAGGCAGCTAAAACTGGAGCAATGTGGTCCCTTTTCCAAACGTACACGTGCTGCAGCATTTTGAATCAGCTGAAGCGACTTAACTGACTTCTTGGTACACCCTGAAAATAAAGAGTTACAATAATCCAGCCTTGAAGTAACAAATGCATGGACTAGTTTCTCTGCATCGTTTTGAGGCAAGA